CCCTCCATCACAGCCAGGTTTGTCCGTTTAACTGCTCCTCGACCCCTTCCTCCCCTCCCTTCCTAGAAACCCTCCCCCCCCCAAAAAAAAGAAAAAAGAAAGACAATGGAGAATTGATAAATCATCTTCAGCCATTAAAGCATATACGTGTGATTCAGTTCACTTTACTCCACTGGAGCAAGTTTATGAGCCTTCACTTCATATCTTCCTCCCTTTATTATCCGCCTGTCATTGATTTGTGGCTCGTCCTTGATGTATTTCTGTATGAGGGACATTTGTGTTTCTCGACTCTGCTTTTCTTCTTTCTGCTTTGGTTTGTTAACAACGTGTTAATATGTAGTTTCTATTATACACAACATACCAGACGGTTTCAGGAATAGGACGATAAAGTCCTGGACTTTCCTCGCTGGAGGTGCGTACGGTCTCCGTAGAATATTAGGAATGAAACAACTTGAATATTGAATGATGTGAGCAACCGGTGCATTTTTAGGAACCACACTAGGTAAAAAAAAGTGGAGCCTGACGGATTTATCTGTTGGACTTTCACAGACATCAGTTCTGTAAAAAACTTTCCCAATTCAGATATTTTGGTTGTATTTGTGTTTTCTATTTATTTATAGGTTTTAATAATGAAGTTTATTATTAAACTATGAATACCAAGCTCAATTACATTTCTTTATGGGTTTGAGAATGACATCGCATGTATATACATATATGCCGGGTCTGGCATTGACGAGTATAATCAAATCTATGTACCAATGGGGTACTACATCTTTAAAGTATTTTAGTTTCAACAAAATAAAACTGCAATTTTCTTTTGCCACAAATTTCTTCTTCGCTGCTCCAAAACAGCAGTCGAGCTGCACCGTCACTGGCAGGTGCTGTTTTTAGAGCAGCGAGCGTTCGCCAGAGCTCGACACAACGCCAGCAGTTTGGTAATATTTCACGCTGGAAAGTCCCACAAGTAAAACGAGCTACGTGAAGACGTATCGAATGCAAGACTTCGGTTTCAACAAGTATTGCCAATTACAACTCCTGCAATAGGCCATACACCAATCATAGCAATCACTCCCGTACAGGGTCAGTAGTATACAGCCGTTAAAATACATTGAAGTTTTTTTTCTAAGGCAATGGTCTTGGATCGGTACTCGTCAATACATAAAAATACACAGAAGTCTAGACTCAAAGGGGGAAATGGTGTCAGAGTATCTGTAATATGTTTTTTGGCTGAAATATCAAACCCAAAATTATCATTCCTAAAAACTGATTTCAGTCGGGCTCCATAAAAAAGTTTTGTACACGTGTGTTCAAACAAGAATTACATTTATTATTTGAGTTATGATGTTGCACTGAAGAACTGAAGTGTGAACTGTGTCACCTGATGAACTGTTTTATTAACCACAGGCAGTTATTCAAATGTATCCAGGACAGCACTTTATAATGATAAGGAAATTATATTTCCTGAGTCCAGTGCATGAGCCAGTTTTCTGACTCAGGAGAAAAACTGCTGGTGAATTGAGCCTTTACAGTTCAGTGAAGATAACTGTGGTGTCATGAAGTTTCAATGCGACATGTTGTTGTGTAGTAGGCTAAAAGAAAGGCTCAGCCCTATTGAAATGTACAGTATAATAGGAGTGTGTGTTTGTGTGCACTCTTGTTCTGGTATGTCAGCAGACCCAGGGCCAGAACGTGACAGGAAGAGAATTTATTTATAATGAGATTTATCTGTAAAACGATCTGTGGTTTGAACAGACCCTGTGTGTGTGTGTGTGTGTGTGTGTGTNGTGTGTGTGTGTGTGTGTCCTTTTGTTGTGCGGTAATAATAACAGCGATGGCGTGATGCCTCAGACAGACACACACCGTGAGAACAGTGTGGGGTCATGATCTAGATGAGAGCAAAGCTGGCATATATGGGTGATGGTCATATTAAAACACCTCACAGGAGCTTGTACGCTCATGTAACAACATTTAAATTTATATCTTTGCCTCGTGGTCGCTACGCTGTCGTGTCTTCAGCTTGATTTACCCTCGTGCGCCCTCTCTCCTCACCCTCCTTTACATCTTATCTCTGAATGTATAACTGTTATTCTTTCAGAGACCTCTCACGACCTCCGCAGATAAAAGCGAGAGGGCAGCGATGTCTCTCTTTGATCCGTAAGGTGCCAGCAGGTCCAGGAGAGCTGCAGGGCTTTAGAAAGGCTCCTAGCAGCTTTACAGCTCTTTGAGTGTCCTGGCTGGTGTTGAAAGGCAGAGCGCAGCCTGCTCGATCACTGTTTACCACATTAGTACTCACCGCTACAAATGGTTAAGGGCAGGCTATTCCTGTCCCCTGCCCCCCTTTGAGATGGGGCCATGGCGGAGAGACAGCGGCTGTAGGTGACAAACACACACAGGATTTTGTGTTTTGGTCGAGCTTTGCCCGCCAGCCTGCGTGCATATCAGGGAAAACAGCTGCATCGGATGTGCCGCTTCATGATTCAAGATTCTCGCGTCCCACAGCCTGCCCTGAAGACAGAGGTTTTATTAGAAAACACAGTTTTAGCATGTTGTTGATGAGAAAGAGTGTTTTTTAGCATGCAGATTACAGTGGTGGGAGAGAAAGGAGAGAGCAGAAGAGAAGTAGCACAGCTGGATTAAAGTCTTATGTAACAGTTGGATCACAGAGAGTCAAGTGGGAGAGGAAGCTGGGGGAACAACAGAATACAGAAATTTGTCATTTTAAAAGTAATCTCATATTTATCCTTTTGATTTTGTTGCAGATACATTTATTTGCGACATCAGGTTAAAGTAAAGTTGAGGCTAAATCTATACCACTAAAACAACCTCTGTCGACGCAAGCGTTCTGACGCCGTACAAGTTTTAATCCCCGTCTATACATCCAAACCTGAAAGTGCACATCACGTGACACTAGGCATGCAAGCGTGCAGGTGTAGAAAGGAAGGCATGCATGTCTAAACACAACAGCTGTTAGCGAAGACAACTGGGTCAGCAAAGCTTGCAATTTATTATCCATGTTGTGTTCTCCACCGGTAGTCGAGGCTAATGTCGGGTGTTTGTCTTTAGAATCAGCGAAGGGAACGTCTTGACTCTAAAGACCCTGTCGTCTCCACTTCTGTCCATCCAGACTAAAACACTGCCCTGGGGGGTTTTCAAACTAAAACACAGCCAGCAGCATTTCCTGGTACATTTGTGTTTTACGTCTCCACCTGTGCTGCATTATAAAATAATATCCTCTAATAAATAATGATAGCAGCTAATGGTGCCCACTGTCTCCGTGAGCTATGATCCCTCGCTGTATTTCATTAGTCACTTCCTCTCTGCTGCTTTTGATGTTTCATTCCACTTTGTTCCAAAAAGGATTTTCCACAGAGAATATGGTCTCAAGAAGTTTCCAGCTGGAGTAAAAATAAAAGCAGAGAGAGGATCTTGAGGATGTTGTCTGGAGCAGTGCTGCTTCACATTTTCCTTTAAGTCTCATAATATCTTGTCAAATCCAGTTTCACAGGAGTAAATTTAAGAGAACACGTTACACGAGTGATCTTCACTCTATGTATAGCGTAGCCTCCGCGTGTGAAGCTGTTTCTTTGTGATCTGCGTTGTTCTCGCAGGTGTAGCGTAGCTGCCGGCATACTGTGTTGCTATGGTGATTAATGGCGAATGTGTAGCAGTGGAGTGCATGTTGAACAGATAGCCTCCTTCCTTTTTAGCTGATCAAGGTCTCCAGGCTCCTTTTATCTTTCGCTCCATGCTATGACAGACTTCACAGCTTCTGCTAATAACTAATAACTCCTCTGTTCTTTTCTTTCTCTGTTTCTCTTAATATCCCCATACTTCCTTTCATAGACATCTCAGTATCAGCGTTTACGTTTGCTGATTATAACATTTTTATTTTACAAAATAAACAATGTAGAAAAATATGAGCTTTTATATCAACATTTATGTAAATATAAATAATGCTCTATTTACAGTTTTTTTTATCAATAGTTTCTTATAATAAAGTGTAACTGTAAAATATAGTGTTATAGAGTTATAATTTTTTTAATGTGGGCTATATCAGCCGATATATCAATATTGGAAATGTTGTACAGGAACCGGTTAATAAATGATTTATTTGTAAAATCTTCATAAGTTCCTAATAACAACTAGCTAGTTGCTATCCTCTAAAGTCGTGCGTAAATAGAAAAGTAAATTAATGTAAATTAGCCTTTTGCGAAATCCTGCTCACAACCAAGCAAATTGACACAGGGGTGAAATCTGTCACCACTCTTCAGTCTCTACATCCTCTGTCCAGCCAACACGAGTAGTTCATTAAGACAAAGCTCCGTCAGAGGAATTTGATCTGTGAGTTAATGAGGGATACCTGCTCCAGCACTGTACGGTGCAACAGTGGAGAGGTGGTGTAGTGCTGAGACATGACCATTTAATCAGGCCACTTTATGATGCATTGCTTTTATTACACCTCTGTGGCTGAGAGGACTTCAGGAATTATGACGTCAGGGGTCAGAGGTTACTTTTCCACCATTAATCCTGTGCAGCTGCACCCACTGCAAATGTTAGGCAGACGATCAGAGCAGAACAGAGCTAATAATACCGTCCTGGCTTTTTAAAGCAGGATGCAAAATGTTAAAAATAGCAGCCCCGCATCTGTTCATTCTTGCGAAGCCAGAGTCTAAACATCTACACTAGAAGAGCGCACCACTGTACAGTATGAAACAAACGTAGCAGGAGAAGTTGCAGTGGTGGGATGTTTGCTGTTGTTTATGATCGTTGTCGGACCAGCCTGTGTGTGAGGAGGCGCTTTCAGTGTTGTTAACAAAGACAAAGCCTCCATGTCCTCCAACCAACCAGCCGGGCACTTTGTCTGATGGAGCGGTGGGATGAAAAGGGAACAGTGGGGCCGGGGTTGATACGGATCAGTGAGGATTAATGATCAGATAACGACAAACCACAATGCAATCTCTCTGTGTCTCTCCCCACCGCTCTTCCACAGTCACACTGTCAGGGTGTGTCACCCGCAGGGGGGAGAACGGCACAGATAGAGATATGACAGGATGTGAGTTTGGGTTAAGGAAGTAGAATAAAGTCTTTTATTATTGGTTTGATTGAGAGAAACCTCGAGGCCGTAGTTACATATTGAACGTTTACCTTTGCCAGTGTTTTTCAACATTTTCGTCAATGAAATAATGTTGATGTAAAAAAAGAAAATCAGACACGGCCTGCGATCTTTGAGTTTGTACAATTTGACGCAGTTTCTCAAACTCCTTCCTGTTTCCTTCCTTTCCTTTTCCCAACAGACGTGTTTCTTCTACACCAGTGTCGTTCTTGTTTTGACCTTCTACTGATTCAAAACCAGTGAACATGACACTTTATATCCCTCTGACAGATTCTATGTGTTTTTAACTGTTTGGTTTGATCGTTTTCATCCTCTTTTCTCTTTTCCATCATTACATCTTTCCCTGATCCTCCTTCAGTCTGCTTCTCTTCCCCCCTCTCTCTCTCTCTCTCTCTCTCTTTCATGTCATTTCACTGCCTCTCTCTGGGTCATGTTGCCCCCCTTAGTGTTTTGGAGTCGGCTGTTAGCTCACTGCCTATATTTATCCCACTTCTAAGCGCCTGTTGATCGCAGTGGTTAAGTTTAGATATGTGACTCTGACTTTTTCTCTGCTGCAGTTTGCTCTGGTTTTATTGCAGATTCCACACAAGGAAAAGTTACATTGGCCTTCATTCAATCTTGTGTCCAAACCTACGTTTATTAAATTTATGGATTTGAATCTTCAAGGTTACATGTAACGGGATTAGATTGTTAAATTTACATCATGCAGACTCATAAAGGTTTTGGAAATTGGCAATGATGTGCTGCGTCTCTGCCAAAGTGTTTAAGGACTTTCAAAGCAGTGAAGCGCTGAGTCCACTGAGGTGCTTGTTCCAGAACTTTTCTGCTAATGGTCAACACTTCTCCTCTGATCTGTGTCAGGCCGCAGCTGCAGTGCCAAGAGTTACGCTCACACTGCAACGTCAGGCCGAAGCATTATGAGCCAGATGGAAACAAACAGCAGAAAGTTGTGGTGTCTCGACTCTTTGTTTTTTCTTTTTCTCTTCCCACGATAGCCTTTAAAAAAAAAAAAAAAACCTTGGAAAAAATATGTGCTGCACAAAACTCCCAGAATGCAGTGCGTTAGTCCCCGGGGAGCTACTAAGATGTAATATAGATGAGAGATGAACTGAAATTGGGAGGTTTCATGCACATGATGTATTCATCATATCGTATCAAGTTGTGGTTTCACAGAGCTGAATGTTGTTTTAGAGCGTGTGCAGAGGAAAAAGAAATGTTTAAGGATGAGTGCAGAGACGTGCCGCTGGAAGAACTGAAGAGATAAATGACAAATAAACACTTAGTGTTACTGAGAGCTGATCCCACCCACACACCATCTCAACAAACACACACTCACCCCTCAGTGGGACCGGTCCTATCTGTGGGTTTGTTTGTGTAAAGAATTTTTTTAGAATCATTTTATGTTTAAGGTAACACCAGGCTGGAATCATTGTGACACTAATTTAATGGAGCTAAAGTTAAAGTATTGATAAAGATGATTTATTCTTGTGAATCAGTCACATCACTGCCAATAACTGATCAGCTTTAAAAAGGTCAGTGTCGATCCGTGTGTGTGTGTGTGTGTGTGTGTGTGTCAATACATTTATTTTAATGTCAATTTGAAGATCCAACAAATCCTCAGATTTGAGAAACTATGTATTGGCTATTTATTTTTATCATTAGTATTATTGTTGATAACAATAATAACTTATTATGGCATTTGTCTCAGTAAAACAATAAATGTATTAACAGGTCGACTAATCAGAACAGCATTAGTGTTGTTATTGCTGAGAACAACATGATAAACTACACATCCAGTAAAATTTGATATACAAAATAATAGAGGCAGCAACATATACAGTAAATCATGTATAGATCAGACATTATCAAATTCTGCCATCAAATTAGGCAAATGTTTGCATTTGGTGAAACATTTTTTTAAACAAGGACGAACAATTATAATAAATAATAATTGATTCTTTCAGTTTGTTTATGATTTTATAATAGAAAGATAACAGTAAGTAGGTCATAAATTGTGAGTGAACTCAGCTGAACAGTGTGAGTCAACCCATTTTTCCTCCTCTACCTGTATTTCTATTTATATCTATATGTCATCCTTGTCTCCATCAGTGTGTGGGGGAGGAGAACTGGGTGGACAGCCGGACAGTGTACATCGGACATAAAGAACCCCCTCCGGGAGCTGAGGCCTACATCCCTCAGCGTTACCCCGACAACCGCATTGTCTCCTCCAAGGTGAGTCAGTGCCTGTAACACGTTCATCATCATGCCATCCCTTTGTCTCACATTCAGACAGCCATGTAATCCCTATTGTGACCACATTTTTTAAAGCATGACACATTTCGCTTCCACGTTTTTGGCGAGTCGTGCATCACCATTCGTCTTGCCAGAAGGATTGTTCAGATGTGCCGTCGTTTCCTGGCTCTGTGTTTTTATGTGTGTGATAGTAATTCAGCTGATGCTCTGACCCACAGTACACCTTCTGGAACTTCATCCCCAAGAACCTGTTTGAGCAGTTCAGAAGAATCGCTAACTTCTACTTCTTGGTCATATTTCTGGTCCAGGTGAGAAAAAAGAGATTTTTTAACTTTCATTCATTCCATGTGAGCTGTGCATGAAAATCAAAGATTCATCATTAAATCCTGTGTTTGTCAGGTTATGTGAATGGGGGATAATATTTTTTTTTTTGTGTGATTATCCTGAAATAGTGAGTGTCTCAATGTCTTTCTTCTTAATCAAAGAGAAACAGCTTTTCCTTTTAACCACTATATGGAACCAAATTTGGAATCATCACACAAGGTGACAGCTTTATAGAGGAGGATACAACAATTAACCTGAAGGCAGCGTGGCCATGTTTTGCTGTTTCATCAGTAGCCTGTGAAATACTGCACCCTCTCATTGGGACAAACTGAGCAAAGCTCACAACTGCAATGTTTGCACTCCTCCTTTTTCTTTTTGTCAGTTGCAGAGCTCCTTCTTTGTTGTTTTGCTCTCCTGTATGACTGCAGATGGAAAATATAAAACAAGATTTGATTACTGGGACACTTCAAGTTTTCAAGATTGATGCTCGAGTCCTTATTACAGAGTTTTTTTTTTCCTGCTGCACTTCCTTACTCAGCATTGCATTACTTGGCATCCTCTCCTCTCTGCCTCCCCCTTCTTTCAACCCCCACCCCTGCACCGCTCTCTCTCTCTCCTCTATGCAGCTTATCATCGACACCCCCACCAGCCCAGTCACCAGCGGCCTGCCCCTCTTCTTTGTTATCACTGTCACCGCCATAAAACAGGTAGGACACACACAAACAGCACTCACATTTCCAGGAAATATTGCCCACAATGCTCTCTCTCTCTCTCTCTCTCTCCCCCTCTCTCCCCCTCTTTCCCTTACACACACCAACTCGCAGCCTGGAATACGCACAGCCAATGGGGATGCTCTGTTATCCGCATACGCGCATTCCTTGCTCAGAGAAGGGACACGCCATTGAATATGTCTGGTGATGTGAGAAATATGATAATGAATGGTCTCCTCTGTTAATCACTCCGGCCGAGTATGCCGTGCCCCTCGGAGCTGCATCCTCTCTGTGTGCTGGAGCTGAGAGATGGGGTGCTATCAGTGATCGATGAAGCTGTTCAGGCTACGGAGGCCTGAGTTTTACCGGGACATAAATCTAAAACATGACGTGTTGCTTAGAAATCCAGAAAAGAGGTCACTAAGCTCAGGGAGCACAATGCTAATTAATTACAGAGTGTGACTTTCACCTCTCTCTCTCTCTTGATCTCATGCTACGTTCTGGCCCCGATTCTCTCTGCACAATAATCCATATTCTCTCTTTCTCTCCTGCCAACAAACGCACCGTTATAATCTTCCCTCTCCTGCTGCATCTCTCTCAGGGCTATGAGGACTGGCTCAGACACAAAGCTGACTGCTCTATAAACGAGTGTCCGGTGGACATGGTGCAGCAGGGGAAGGTGGTGAGGACGCAGAGTCACAAGCTACGGGTAAGAATGGCCTCATTAGAGCAGCACAGCACCTGAGGCCACAAAGCAACACCACTGTACTGCTGCGTAGCTCACTTTTTTCTATATCTGTCGCTGTCTCACCCCACCTCCTCTTCTCCGCAGTCCTCTCCAACTTTGTTTCCTTCTTCCTCTCTGGCTCGCTCTTCTCTTACCCACCAATTAAACTCTCTGAAACTGTAGTAGAGGGAGAACAATCGCTGTCCCCTGGCTCACCACGCACGAGTCCCCCCGCTGGAATTAACAGCACTGATGTATTTTATAGCTTCAGGTCTTCCTGTCATCATCCCCTTATGTCATTCTTATGCAACAGCAGATCCCAGTTTGGTAGCATGGCTCAGTCTAATTCCTGGATATGCCTTAAAATCCTTAGGATTCATATTTGATATGTTTTCAGCAATATTCTGTACAGTAGATCTTAATTTCCTTTAATTTGACTCTATTTAAAATAACGTGACACAAGGAATCCTCTGTTCTGTTGGTTGGACTGTAAACCAATAGACAAGTCAATATTTGTGTAAACACACAAATGTAGCGCTGAACATTTGAGCTCCGATCTCTCAGGACAGATGTTGATACCAAAATGATCCAAACCATAATAATCTAAAAGATCTCCAGCGTAGTGATTTGTGCTGTTGCTTCATTGTAGAAGTGTTTGCATCACTCTGCCCCACTATCGCTCTCTCTCTCACACTCTTCTGTCTTTCACAGTCAGACCAGCCATCTGCAGCACCAGGAAAAATGTCACTGCTATGGTGGCCCAGTGGCCCGTCAAAACATCCATAGAGTTATTACTTTCCTGTGCAGGCAGGGAGAACTCAGCAGAACATTGGGCTATAGCTGTTGGTTAACAATTAAATGAACATCCCCAGTACTGGTACCTGGAGCGGGGCTGAATGTCAAGATTTCTGTCGAAAAGCAAGAACCAGTTTCACTGAGCTTGCATTTTTCTCTGCAGAATCCCTCTCATATCATCCCAGCGTGAATATAAACAAAGGTGTCTGTTTGCATTATGTGAGTGTCGAGCTCAGCACCTCCTATGTAGATGCGTAGTATAATATTCAGTCCAGTTACACCGTTGTGTCGAGAGGCTATTTAATGGGTGCAGGTATGTTTAGATTCTGCTGCGTCTGCTGCTCCTGTCGAGCGTGGAGACGATGCTGGATGTTGAGTGTCATCTTGGAATGAGGCTTCGACACAGCTCCACAGCATTAATGGTTACTGAGCATTAGTTTGTGTTTCCATCGCAGTAGATTTCATTTTACATTCACCTACACCAGAAACTCTCTTCCTGTCTTTTCTGTCCCCCTATGTGAGTCAGTGTCCCCGTCTGTCTCTCTCTCTTTCTCTCTGTCCTTTCTCTCTGTCTCTTGAGTCTTCTCCTGTTTTCTGCACCAAGGTTTCTCACTTCCGCAGATCAAACAGAGAGGATTAGAGTGTGAATTGGGAGCAGGAATAATGATGAATATATTAATCATGCAAAATCAGAGCACGTGTGTGTACGGTCACCGTGGAGATGGGATTTATCAGAGCTTAAGCTGCTCCGCTCGCATAATCTGTTATGCAACTTCTAAATCCTTCGGGAAAAAAGGGCTGTCTGTATGTCTTTTACTCTCCGTGTTTATGTGAACCTCTCGTCAAAATGTTTATCATTTAACATGGATGCAAAAGCCATTATGGGATGGTGTGTGTGAAGTGTCTGTCCTGTTCCGTCAGGTGGGGGACATTGTTGTGGTGAGGGAGGACGAGACTTTCCCTTGTGACCTCATCCTTCTCTCTGCCAGTCGTCAGGATGGGACCTGCTTCGTCACCACCACCAGCCTGGACGGGGAGTCCAGTCACAAGGTGCCAGGACGAGTGCATGATGTCAATAATGTTGTTATGCTTTAAATTTAAAACCTTTAAAACCTTTTTACTGTCATTTAGACAGAAAAGCAAATTGAAGGAGTCAGCTTAAGTCTTAGGATGTTCTCAGGGCCTCTGGACCCAAATATAAATTGATCGATTTGCAGATTAATACAAATGAAAAGGAATCTTCAGTTGCAGCCTTACATGCTCTCAGACTCAGGTTCATTCATTCATTCAATATGCAGGTGACACACTGTCGCACACATTTCATGTTTTTTCTCCTGATGTTCAGTGATGTCACTCACACGGCCTTAAGCATGACTGAGCACACACACACACATGTCTCACAGTGTGTACTCCGCCCACCCTCCCCCTAGATGCCCCAAGGGTGACCCCCTGCTGCGCTCACCTTCTCAGCATGCTCGTCCTCTGCCGACCCACCAAGCGCCCTGTGATTGCTCACCTCGCTGCCTCTCCTTGTGGACTACAGGATAAGGAATCAAATGATCCCTGCTCTCATTAGTGACTGCGGGTGACATTTTCTTCTGTTGTCTCTTCCTCATTCCCCCGTCCTCTGCCTTTGTCCCTCAGACCTATTATGCCGTACCAGATACCATGGCCTTTAGAACGGAGCAGGAGGTGGATTCGCTACATGCCACCATTGAATGTGAACAACCACAGCCTGACCTCTACAAGTGAGTCTGACACACACGCACTGATGCATCTTGCTCCGACCTATTACCACCTCTTAGAAGTGAATCTTCCTTTAGTCCTGTCTTGATTTGATTTCGCTGTGACCTTTTCCAGATTTGTGGGACGCATCAATATTTACAAGGACAATGAAGAGCCCGTGGCTCGGTGAGAGCTTTATTTTGAACTTTTCCTTTTGTTTTCACAGGGACAACTTTTGTCCTCATAATCATTAAATGATGTTATTTGAAATAAAGGCGTCTAAGGATTGTTTTTAATTCTTGCAGACCGCTCGGAGCTGAGAACTTGCTCCTTAGAGGAGCAACACTGAAGAACACGCAACACATTTATGGTACAGACACAGTTTCACATTGTGAAAACATGAAAAGAAAGGCTGTTGTTGTTATTGTCATGGTAACTCTGTGTTTTCTCTCTCTAAGCTGTTGCAGTCTACACCGGCATGGAGACGAAGATGGCGCTTAATTACCAGTCTAAATCTCAAAAGCGCTCCGCTGTAGAAAAGTACGATGAATGTCTAAACTCCTTTCACTGCAGACTCAGGGTTTCTGCAGGGTCTTAAACAGTCTAACATACAATATCTGAACTTTTGACTTTTGAAAATATCTTAAATATGTTAAAATAGAGCTTTAAATTTATTTTTAATTCAAATTTTTGTTTTGGTGACATTCAGATATTAGCACGCTGTTGTTAAAACTACAACAAGATGAGTTTGTTTCGTGTTGTCCTCTTGTTTATGGTTGTGGGTTATTGTTTTGGTGATGTGGGTAGTAGACTGAGAAATTTAAATAAGATATTATTGGAAAAATCAGACGAACACTGATACAAACACCAGGATCAAAATTTACTGCCGTATACTCAGCTTGGCTGTGTGTAAGAATATTGATACTGTCTGTGCCTGCAGTTTCTGAAGTAACGTGGTATTTTGAGGGCACTTTAATTGTGGGTAAATGTAAGAAATTACTTCATATCTGTCATCCTTGAAAGTGACTTTGTTGAAACCTGCAGAAACCTTGACAATGTCGATTAGTTATTTTTGGAGTGGTTTGTTGAGTCGTGATCCTGACCCTCACTTTGCTCCCTCTAATCTCTGCAGGTCGATGAATGCCTTCCTGATAGTGTATCTGTGCATCTTGATCAGTAAAGCGGTGATCAACACTGTTTTGAAATATGCGTGGCAGTGGTCTCCCGACCGAGATGAGCCCTGGTACAACCACAGGACGGAGAACGAGCGGCAGCGGCACGTGGTCTGTCCATCGACCTCCGCTTCAAAAACCAAATATCCATGCCTGTAACCCCCAAATGTGATTTTCACTAAAACGTCATTGCTGTTATTTTTCTTCAACCCAACCACAGGTGATCCGAGCGTTAACAGACTTCCTGGCTTTCATGGTCTTGTTTAACTACATTATCCCGGTCTCCATGTACGTGACGGTGGAGATGCAGAAATTCCTCGGCTCCTACTTCATCACGTGGGATGAGGAGATGTTCGATGACGAGCTGGGGGAGGGAGCTCAGGTCAACACCTCTGACCTGAACGAAGAGCTGGGACAGGTATATACACACACACACACACAC